AGGTGAAGTATAAACCCTTTATATTTTTAACTTCTACGCTGAAACATTTTTGTGGACAGACATATATATGTGAATTATAAATGAAAGCCATGGAACATACCACATGGAAGGAATAGTGTTTAAAAGCCGAAGGGTAAAATAGAATAAACACCATCATGTCCTCAGTCAGTGAAAAACAATTTAAAATCTGTCCTTTTTTGTGCTTTACCAGGTATGTTGAGTGTTTCTCTATAACTTTAATTCACAAGCAAATGGCTTTACAGTCATTTGTTTGTGGCTGAAAGATAGATTTTGTTCTTTTTTTTTCAAAGCAGCCCTATGTGTCAGGTTGGGTAAGTAATAATGGAACTATGAATTGCTATGGCTTCCTTATCCCAGGTAACTCAGGGGCCACAGTGAGAAATTTCTCTGCATGCTCACATTTCCCACAATAAGTTCATTCATTCATCTGGAATGTATTGAGCCCCTGCTTACTTGCAAAGGTATAGAAAATACCATTGCTTCTGTCCAAAAAGGAGTATAAACAGAAGTATGAGCTTAGTAACACAGCATATAACTTTCTCATTTACAGCTGAGAATACGAGGAGTGCCAAGCTTATGACTCTGTCACCGACTGGCTTTCCTGCTCCCACCCGTTCAGTCTTTTCATCCCACTGGCAGGATAAATTCAATTAGTTTATTTTATTCATTAATAATCCTGTTTATGTGATTAGGACTGTAGAGTGTGCTGTCTACTAGTGTATTCACGAGTCACATGTGGCCATTTAAATTTCAGTTAATTAAAACTAAATTAATAAAAATTTTGTAAAACTACTTAAATTTAAAGATCAGTTCCTTAGTTGCATTGGCTCTATTTCAGGTACTCAATAGCCATCTGTGGCCGGTGGCTACCCTAGGCAGGCTAAGCTGCAGAACATTTCTCTCATCTCGGGAAGTTCTGTTGGGAAGTTCAGCTCTGCCCTCGAGTTTGCAAATCCCTTTCACACTCCTTTCCTCACCTGCCCCTCACAACCACCCTAATAATAATGGGCAAGGCCTACAGTGTCAATTATATCCATGAATTGTATCTATGAGGATACCGAGGTGTCAGGATATTCAATAATGAATCTTCCCATAGAATTTCCATATAGTACCTCCTTTGGGAGCACACAAAGGCAAGTAAAGATAAATGTAAATGAATAAGGATTTTATCTACGATGTTTGATCTTGAACTATGAGTAATCTAAAGGCAGAGGTATGGCATAGCTTGTTTAGGTTTGTAATCTGATATTTGTCACAGAGAGAACACAAGTTAAACATTCAGTAGTTACTTAGCTACTGACTGTATGAATGAATAGTTGTAGTGTTTGGTTCAAACAGAATTTATAGTTAAATAGAAATTTTAAAATGTGGCTAAGGGGCTACTGAATTAATGGGTTACAATTAAAGTTCTGGTTAGCAAAAGAAAGAAGATGGAAACTTATCATCTCTATTTTGCTTGAGATCTTTTTTTTTAGTATAGTCATACCTAGGGATCGATCGGATTTTTTGTTTGTTTTTTGTTTTTTTACTTCTTGCTGTGTTTAACCATTGGAAAAGTTTGAGATAATTTTTTAAAGATTTTATTTATTTATCTTTAGAGAGAAGGGAAAGGAGGGAGAAAATGTGGGAGAGAAATATTGATGTAAGAGAGGAACATTGATTGGTTGCCTCTCATACATGCCCAACCTGGGACTGAATCCACAACTCTGGCGTGTGCCCTGACCAGGAATCGAACCGGCAGTCTTTCCCTTCATGGAATGATGCCCAACTGACTGAGCCAGAATGGTCAGGGCTGAGATAATTCTTCATGCAGGCACCATTTCGTGGCAATAATGTTCACTAAACTCTAACAGTGCACATTTATCTTGCATGGCTATTCTTGCTGTGTACTTGTGTTTAACCTAGAAAAGAACTGCTTTAAATTAACATTTGTGAGTCATGACAATCAAACGAAGATGGTCAATAGTCTTGGTACTGTCTCCTAAAATTGTAAACCATGTTTTATTTTAGAAGGGTGTTTAAATGATATACATCAGTTATATTTCATTGTGACCTAAGTGTATAGCTCCTACAGACTGTAAAAATTGCCACAAGATAGCATTCAGATCTATTTTTCAAAGGAAAAAGAAACAGAACACTGAATAATTATGTTTTCTAAAGTCAGCTTTATAATGTGAAGTGTATAATTCTAATACTGTATTAGCGTTTAGTAATATAAATACTAATGTGTTGTACTAGTATCTATGGAGGTAAACCAGTAACCTACAGAAGTGTCAGTACTGTTGTCTTGCCATCAGAGGAGGTCCTTGTGTGTTTATTCATTTGCTTCAGTGTTTTGGGAAGAAGAGTCAGTAGTATGAAGGCATTCTTCAGCATAGAATATATAACCATTCAAAACATCCTAAATAATGGAGTTGGCTGATTTTCCCTAGGTGAAAACACGACGTTTAGACATATAGATACCACCAACTTAAAAGATTTAATGTACCATATTTTTTGGACCATAAGACACACCAAGGTTTTAGAAGAGGAAAATAGGAAAAAAAATTGAAGTAAAAAATGTGGTTTTAAAAAAATGTGTCTTATAGTCTGAAAAATACAGTAGCTATCATAGTAGCTTAGATTATCCTAAACCAAAATACCTTACTGGCAGGTCATATATATTTTTTTTAGCTAGATGGCCAAATGGCCTTTCTTTTGTGGGTTTTATATCTGATAGTCATTCTTAGCCTGGATTTTCTGATTCTTAAAGTTTCTATCCAACGAATACAGCAAAGGATGTTGTGATGCTTAGTAATAACTTGTATTTCACTTCAAATTCACATTTTTGTAATTCCTTAACACCATTTATGCTCTCTGTTCATCCTTTGTGTGTAGACATGGAACATGAGTCTTGAAAATTGCAAAACAAAGGCATCGTGATGATGCGTTGTGGTTTTTCAAGAATCCCGGGTCTACAAGCGGAAGTTGACAATATTTCATACTTGGAAGCTCGGCAACTCTGAAGCAATGTGGTGGCTAACACAAGCAAATTTCATATCTAGATTTTGTACACTCGCTTTTCTGGGCTTAGATTACAGGAGAATGGGATAGTTTAGAATTTGCTTCTTTTGCTTCATATTGAAGCCCAGGAGCAAAGTACCTGGGTTAATGGCATCCCCTTTTTATGCTTTGGTTGTGAAAACAAGGTTTCTCCTCACCTCCAGTGAATTGAGGGACACATGGAGGGATTTTGCAATGTAGTAATAAGCACTCCATTTCGGTGCAAAGTTTAGTTGCTTGAGTCACCGAAGTGCTGGGTCGGAGTGATGAATAGACTATCTCCTCCTGTGGTCTGGTTCTGCCATTTCTCATACCGCAGCTTGTCAGGTGCCCCCTGGATGGGTACCCCATTCTTCCCCTTCCGGTTAGATGATGCTCTGCTGTTGACAGATTGAAATCTGTGCACTTGCCGTGGTGATACAGACATTTGTGAAAAGCGAAACATCGTCACCCTTCCCATGAAGGCTGTGGGGGACTTTCATAAATTACTATCTTAATGGACAGAGTAAATGTTGAGCTGTTTTGTGTGTTCGTGCACATTTCCTAGAACTTTAATACTGAAAATAAATTCACAGGCTGCACTGATTGAAAAGCTAGTGGGCAGAGAGGTTAAGTCATGGGATCCAGGTCACAGGTCGCTGTCTGTGTGGAGGGATGGACTTCAGTCTCAGTCCTGTATGGTGGAGGCACAAACGTATTGCTTGATGTGTGAAAGGAATATTGTTTGCATATTAAGTAGAGCCTTTTAAATGATTTTGAGATGCTGGAGACTTTTCTCATGGACTGATTTGGATATGAGCAGTGATCACACATGTCATTTTTGAGCAGCTGTTGAAGACGGCAGAACATGATTATGCTACGTGCTTCATCTATGACATCTGGTTGCTGGGCAAAAAAAATTCTCTGATAGTTGGAAGACACACTTTCGCTCTCCTTGGAGTATTTCAGTCAGAGACTCGATATGAAGCCAGACGTGGTGGCTGGTTGGTGGTGGCACTTGGTTAAGCTGTGCAGTGAGGTGCAAACTGGGGAGAGCGTAAGGACTTTATGGAAAGTGCCCTTTGAAGGCCTTTGTTGCCTTGATGACTGTACAGTCTCCTGATTTCTGGTAGAACCCTGAGCTGTGGCATTTTTTTATGGTAGAGTAATTTGTATTTTGGCCTTTGGACATCCCATGACCCACTCTCCGGAGGGACCAGGTCTTTGCTCTGAGACAGAGCCTCACCCCAGTAACTGTTATATTTTCTTCTTTCCATTTGTCCTGTGTTGAGAAACCTTTTAAACATTTGCATCAGCCTTCCTTCACTGAGACTTTAAGTCCACTGCATTCATTTCATTTTTAATCTAACGGCTCATGCACAGGCTTTAACTATAAGCCATTTTTATCATGTCTGCATTGTTATGTTACCTCCAAAATAAACTTCATCTTTGCCTGCAGTCTCATTGCTGTAGAAACTGAACAGAGGATTTCCTTGGAGAAGTTCAGCATTGAGGAATCTCTGAGCAACTGCTTTGGTTTTGACAGCCATCCTTAGCTTTGTCAGAAGAAATCCCACATGGTTTGGATGCTTCTGCAAGCGCTGGATTAGGAAGAGGCAGTAGTAAAAATCTACTCTGTTGAAAATTGTTTTCTTAGCTTTTTTTTCTTTCTAAAAAGCATATGTTATTAAATCCTTTCAATTACTTAACAGTCCTTTTATTTCTTACCTTCTTCTGATATCATGGCCAAAATGTTTAGCATAATGAGCCTCTCATTGAGTAGCTATTGAATAATGAAGAGTGAATTTACTTGGCTCTGATTATTCAAGTGATTTCCTAATAAGCACAAGTACTGTTGTATTTTTTGATGTGTAATACTTGCCAGTGTCCCCTCCTCCCTCCTACAGAGACCATTGAATTAATGAAACTTAGAGTAACATCCATCTGTTCTATACCAGGTCACTTCAGGTGGAACGTTCATCGGCATTGGACGGAAAACACCAGATTGCCAAGGAAACACCAAGTACTTCCGCTGTAAATTCTGCAATTTCACGTACATGGGCAACTCATCAACTGAACTAGAACAACATTTTCTTCAGACTCACCCGAACAAAATAAAAGCTCCTCTCCCCTCCTCTGAGGGTGCAAAACCTTCAGAGAAAAACTCCAACAAATCCATCCCTGCACTCCGATCCAGTGACTCTGGAGACTTGGGCAAGTGGCAGGACAAGATCACGGTCAAGGCAGGCGACGACACTCCGGTTGGCTACTCAGTGCCCATCAAGCCCCTTGATTCCTCCAGGCAAAATGGTACAGAGGCCACCAGTTACTACTGGTGTAAATTTTGTAGTTTCAGCTGTGAGTCATCTAGCTCACTTAAACTGCTAGAACATTATGGCAAGCAGCACGGAGGAGTGCAGTCCGGCAGCCTTAATCCAGAATTGAACGACAAGCTTTCCCGGGGCTCTGTCATTAATCAGAATGATCTGGCCAAAGGCACAGAAGGGGAGCCAATGACCAAGGCAGAGAAGGGCTCTAGCGGCACGAAAAAGAAAGACTTCTCCAGCAAGGGGGCAGAGGATAATGTGGTGACCAGCTACAACTGTCAGTTCTGCGACTTTAGATATTCCAAAAGCCATGGCCCCGACGTCATTGTTGTGGGGCCGCTTCTCCGTCATTATCAACAGCTCCATAACATTCATAAGTGTACCATTAAGCACTGTCCATTCTGTCCCAGAGGCCTTTGCAGCCCAGAAAAGCACCTTGGAGAAATCACTTACCCGTTCGCTTGTAGAAAAAGTAATTGTTCCCACTGTGCGCTCTTGCTTTTGCACTTGTCTCCTGGGGCGGCCGGAAGCTCAAGGGTCAAACACCAGTGCCACCAGTGCAACTTCTCCACCCCTGATGTGGACGTGCTCCTCTTCCATTACGAGAGCGTGCATGAGTCCCAGGCATCGGATGTCAAGCAGGAAGCCAACCACCTGCCAGGATCATCAGATGGGCAGCCGTCAGTCAAGGAAAGCAAAGAACACTCATGTACCAAATGTGATTTCATTACCCAGGTGGAAGAAGAGATTTCCCGACACTACAGGTAAGCCATGGGGTGGGGAGGGCACATCAGGAAATTGATAGGGCCCTGCCTGGCTAGCTCTGGTGGTTAGAGCATTGTCCTGTACACCTATATTGTGGGTTCAGTCCCATCATGGCACATACAAGAATCAACCAATGAATGCAAAAATAAGCAGGATGATAAATCAGTGATTCTCTCTCTCTTTCTCTATGTGTATGTATATGTATTTCTCTAAAATCAATCTATAAATTAAAAAAATAAATTGATAGAAACAAAGGCTGATCCAAAAGTAGTTGGGAATGATTGTGGTGACCTGAGGGAATTATAGGACAAGATCATGTAAAAGATCACTTGTAAAACTGCAGATTATGTATTTATAGAGGTGATAACCACAGATCTTAACTGGACGACCTGTTTGAGACCATTTACTCTTCTGTTTCTTACCTGTTTTATACCACTTAGTGTATTGTAAAGTCTGCAGTGATGCTGATAACACCAATGAGTTCACTGATAGACGACAGTTCATTTATTTGTCCTTGCTAAGTTTGGCCCCGTAGTTCATCATTTTGATGGAGCCACGCCTGAATGAAAAGTATCTCTATAATTTCTTCAGTTCTTTATTTCAACTGGGAGACAGTCCATTTGAGAACATGTTGCTCATTCTTTTGAATGAAACTGGCCATCCTTTGAGCTTTAAAAACTTGAGCAACAACCTTGTTTTGCATGCAAATAGTAACCTGAAGGTGAGGATTCTGTAATTGGTATAACTTGGATATCTGGAATCCTGCTCCTCTGAGCATAACGCTGCTTAAGTTATTTCAGATTTGTAAACAGAGAGAGAGGGTGTGTCAGAGTTTCCTTCTACTTTCCCTCTGTTCTCTTTGTAAATGTTCATTTTCCCAGTTAATCTTTATGTTTTCTAGGGATGAATTTAGGATACATATCTTTATTTCATTTATGTATTCATCTCTTAACTAATTAATTCCAAAAACATACATGATGCCCACTGATAATGGAGAAAAAATAAGACAAACATAGTGCCTTTATGGAACTTACAGTTTAGTAGGAGATCTTACCAGATCGTAAGAGTGTACGGTGTCATAAAGATGAAGCAGAGACCACTGTGTTAGAGTATAATGATAACATAGCCCAACAGGGTAGATTAGGAAATGCCTGTCTGAGGAAGGAGCATTTACATTGAGACCTGGTTATAAGTAGGAATTACTACTTCACCAAAATCCTGGTGGTACAGTGTGTTCAGATAATAACTTAGCATGTATTAGATGCTTTTCTGTTATTATTCCTCCAAATGTCAAAGTAAAGAGCTTTATTTATGATTTTAAGTGCTTTTCCATACATAGACTCGATATCCTAATTTAAAATTTTTCACATCCCAAGATTTTAAACAGTTCTCCCCTTGTTTTTAAAAGTCATGTGTTCATACTAATGTGTGCATGTTTTCTCAGTCACACTCAGCAACAAAGCAGTTTGTGTCCAACAATGGGCTAATAATGCTAAATGCTAATTCGAAGGGCATCCTAATGTTGTTCACAGTGAATCTAAATGCTCAGAAAACACTTCCCTAAGATTGACACTGTTTAATTTATAAGGTCAGCCCTAGGAAAAGACACAGTCCTGCAATCAAATATGTTCACACTTGGCAGTGAGTGTTTCTGGCTTCTCCGATGGTAGCTGCGTGTTAATTTATTTCCGAGGCTAGCAGACATTAGCTCTCTCCCAAGCTTTACCAGCGTGTGTATTGTGCATGCACATTTATTAGGTGATGTAAGAAGTTTCACATGTGCACGCACGTTCCTCGGATGTGAAAATCAGAGAATCCATCCTTTTTACGGAGTAGGAGGCTTTCTTCAATCAGGACAAATCAGCCTCAGTGAGCACCCGCAACACAACAATACATCCAGATAGCAGATCACCTGGATGAGTCGCTTTTTCTCAAGGAAGCTGAGGCCATTGCTCAAAAACCCGTCTGAAAAAATAGGGCACTTTTGTGAAACAAAAGTAATCCCGAGAAATACAACAGTGAATAAAATGTGACCGAATAATCTCAGAGTTTACTCAGTATTTATTAAGGAAAGTACGTTTCTGAGCAAAGAGACTCGTCTTGTCTTGTTTCCTGCCTCTGCGCCAGGATGGCCGATAGGTTCTCATGAATATCTGTAAGTGAAATCCCCATGAGATGTGCCTTCACCCTAGTTTGACTAAGCTGAGATCTCCATGGTAAGTTACAGTTTAATCTTTGGCTACTAAATGGTCTTGGGATCCTTCTAAGGACATACATTCTAAACACACTGATGTTTGCGCATTTGAAATGTAAGTCAAGGTCTCAGTATTTTATTAGATAAAACATTGAACAGCACTTCTCCCTGGGCATTAAAATTATTCTTAAAACCTGATGGAGTTTGTGTGGTCCTAGATTCTTTTTTTTTAAAAATATTTTATTTATTTATTTTTCGAGAGAGGGGAAGGGAAGGAGAAAGAGTGGGAGAGAAATATCAATGTATGGTTGCCTCTCATGCATCCCCTGCTGGGAACTGGCCTGCAACCCAGGCATGTGCCCTGACTGGGAATCAAACCTCGATACTCTGGTTCTCAGGCCCGCGCTCAATCCACTGAGCTATGCCAGCCAGGGCTCCTAGATTCTTTAAGTTGCCAGGCAGTTTATCTAGGATCTTTTGGTGAATTCATGCAGAAGTATTTGAAAGTCTGACAATTTCAGGGGTCCCAGCCAGTGAGGACCACAGGGGTGTGAAAGGAAATAGTCAGGAGGGTGTCGGAAACTTGATCTGCCATCAAACCATTTTCCCCAAATAGTTCATTTTGAAGATAGCATAAAGGGACGAGTTTACTATACCACAATGATCTCTTTTTAGTTAAATGTATGTTTATTCATAGTATTTATGTTGGGAAACTTCCTCCCTCATTCTGTTGCACCGTGGAATATTCTAGGCCTTTGAGTGTTTACATACATGACTGACAGTGCAGTAAAAAGGTGGTATAAGCCGAGAAATGTACAATATGTGAAATCATGTAGCTAGAAAGTAACTGTAGGGGAGAATTTTCAACAACTGAGGAACAGGGGAGTTGATTTTGAGCTACGAGTGGAAAAACCTCAGTGGGGATTGCATGGGCATTTTCCCGAAGAACCGAGTTTAACCTGGGTTGAACTGCAAACAGCCTGTCGGTAACTGGAACTCAGTCAGTTTTCTTAGTGTTTCATGTTTACTTATGATACCCCAGCTCACACCATGACTGAGTTATTACGTTCTACTCATGCATTTGTATCTCAGACTCCTTTTTATTTTAGTATTTAATTAAACAGTGTACCTATTGTCTAATTGGCTACTATTTGTGTCATCAAAATTTTCAGTGCCATAACTTCTGCTTCTGGTGTAAGAGGCCTCTCTCCTTACAAAACAACTATGACTAGATAAAACATACTTTTTAATGCGTTGCTACACTTCCACGAGTGAAGGAAAAATTCTGAAGCCTTTCTCTTCTCCCTCCACCAAGAGTAAATCAACTACAGACTGGAGGGCATGAAGGAGATGCAGGACGTGAGGTTCCACTGAGGGCAGATGCCGGTCCGGGCGCTGCCTTTGGTCAGCAGTGGTCTCCTGGAGTCGCTGCGCAGAATCGAATTTTACTTTTACCTTGAAGGTGGCTGACCTGATTCCCTATCTGTGCCTTCCTTTGACTTCTGTCGGAAGTAAACACGAATTTGTATACAGCAGTGTACTTCAATTTCCACTCCACGGTGTCCACGGCCAGGCCCAAGATAAACCTCGTCGGAGCTCACTGTTACACAGAGTCTCTGTGTGGACAGGGTTGTGAACCACGATATCTGAAATTAGTATGAAATGCAACTACTAGCTTTAGATTCTCAGCAACTTCACATACAGTAGTTTTCAGTCATACGATAACAGTAGGTGTTTAAAATGAAAATTAAACTTACAGATTGATGAAGTTATATGAGGCTATAAGTGAATATTTATAAAGGAGCAACTGCTGCTTTTTAATTGAACACAGAGTTGTTAAAACTGAGGACCTATGGATTGGTTAAATAACAGATTAGCAGATGATTGAGAGCAAATATGTTAGTCAGAGGTTAAATCGAAAGACATTAGCTAGAATATTTAAGAGGCAGGAAGGGGTGGAAAGTATCAAAAGCAGCTCTAACATGCATCTGATTAGAGCCCTAGAATAAACTAATGTAGTGAATGGAAGATAGGTTGTGGGTTTGATCCTTGATCAGGGCACATACTGGAGGCATCCAGTAGATATTCCTCTCTTACATCCATGTTTTTCTCTCTCTATATATAAAAAATAAAATAAAATTCAACTATAATCTGTTTACAGGATACATACTCAAAACATAAGGCTATGGAGTTTGAAAGAAAAAATAGACTTGAGTTATTAGAGCTGAGTTATTAGCAAATATAAAGCAAATATAAAGCAAATATAAAGGAAAATTGAGGTAACTTTATTAATGTCATGCAGTTTAGACTGTAAGACAGGAGGCATGTGGGAAGAGTCGTTACGTAATGGTAAGATATTTAGTTCTTCAAATAAATGTAAATAAGTATATACATGGAGTAAAAATTGATACACAGCTACAGTCAAAGTATGACCAACCATATCACAGTGGTAAATTTTTAAAAACCTTTCTTATTAAAACTTGAACAGAAATAATTTTTCAATATATGAAGACTTGAACAATAAATTAACAATCTTGATTTAATAAAAAATATTAATTCTGCCCTCAACAATTAGAGAATAAACATGCTTTTCAAGCAAATATAAAACACTTAGAAAAACTGACACATATGAAGCAAAAAAAAAATCAGATTTCAGAAAAACAACATCAGAGAATATATGTCCTTTGGCTCAGTGCATTTAAGTTAGACCTCAATAACAAAACTGTAGAGATACATGAACTTGCAGAAGGCAAACACTTAACTCAAGGAGAAATGGGCCACTTTATTAACCTCACAAAGCAGCAA